TGCAGATACAGCTTATTTGCCCAGTTAAGGAATGGCACATTCTATAGAAGAGAGCTTACCAGTTACCTGAAACCAGGTGCATTTCTGATGACCCAACCCCCTTTTTAGGTTGATTTTAATTTGTGAGTGTCCAAAAAGCTGGAAAGCATAGGCTAAACTTACTTTTAACAGTATGTTGAGTTTTCATATAATAGGCACAATAGGTTTTTATCCTCCAAATAACTTTTCAGGTGAAATACCTCTAAATTTAAATCAGTGTGTCTAGCTGTTAATCTAGAAAATACATTATTTTTCCTGTGCATCTCTGAATTTCCAATTCAGATAGGAAATGCGAATTACTTTCTTCATTAGTACACAGATAACATGAAAAATAATTGAATCTTATGTTGACAGTGCAGGATTGTTATGAACACCTGCTGTTTTGCTGTTAAATTGTATAGATGTGATTTGACCCCTGTACTGTTACTACATTCTATGCTATTTGGGTTTAGGGATTTTTCTTTATGTGTGTTTGCTCTTCATAGTTTCTATTTAACTATCAGGCTGTCACCTGTCACTTCTTGTTAACATCACACTGCTTAACTCCTGCATCCCCCTTCTCACTATCCCTATAATTAGTTGCTTCTAATCTTCTTAGGAAATCAGATTAGTAGCTTGTTAGATTTGTTTCCAAAGGGTAAGTAAAAAGAATGATAGGACTCTTTAAAAAAAACCAACACTGACAGCTCAATAAGCCTTTTTCCTCCTTTCCTTCCTTAGCAAAGATTTCCATATAGATATTGGCAATGAAAGGTGTTCCTTCTCAGCAGTTTTACAGTACACCATTGCATGACGTCTTCCATCAGTTTGGACAAGTTATAATTAGCTTTAAAATATATATGTTCTTTGAGGACAGAAATATAACCACTTTTGTTTTCTTCACCTCTTCCCCGTGCCTTTCTCCCCTATAGTTTTGTGTCTGCCATCTAGTACAGCAGCACGTATCCTAATCGTGGTTTCTCAGGCCACCAGGTTATCTGCCCATACATAAGAATATTTAAAGAATGAAAACTAAATATCTGTATTGGGAATTTTATTTTAGCTTTAAAAGTTAGTTATCTTATGATAAAGTCTTATATTTATCCACATATTTACTGTCTCCACTGCTATTTATTTATGTAAATCCAAGTTTCCAACTGGTATCATTTTCCTTTTGCCTCAAGATCTTCCTGTGACATTTCTTGGAATGCAGTCTGCTGGGTTTTTTGCTGCTGTTGTCTGTATAAGGTTTTATTTTGCCTTTATTCTTAAAAGATATTTTTACTGGATATAGAATTCTAAGGTAATCCTTTCTTTTCACCATTTTCAAGCTATCAGCCCATTGTCTTCCACTTACAAAGTTGCTGGTGAAATCTACTGTCATTTTTGTGTTTGCTCCTCTGTACATAGTGTGTCTTTTTTCCCTCTGGCTACTTTTCACTGGTTTTAAGCAGTTTGATTATGGTGTACCTCAGTGTGCTCTTCTTTGTGTGTCTCTTGCTTGGAGGTTGTTGAGCTTCTTGGATCTGTGGGTTTATAGTTTTAATCAAATTTTGAAAAGTTTTGGTCATCATTTCTTACAATATTTTTCTGTCCCCGCAACTCCCTCCCATCCTGCTGAGAATGCGATTTCATGTGTATTAGACGGCTTGATATTATCCCACAGGTCTCTAAGACTCTATTCCTTTGATTTATTTTTTCAGCATGTTTTGTCTCTGTGTTGTATTTTGGATAAATTCTATTGTTATGTGTTTAAGTTCCCTGATTTTTTTTCCCCTTCTGCAGTGTCTAATCTGCTTTTAATCTCATTCAGTGAAATTTTCATTTCAGATATTATGTTTTCTCAATTTCTAGGAGTTCTATTTGGTCCTTTTAAAATTTTTCCTTTTATTATGTCTATGTGTTCCTTTAATACTGAACATAGTCATAATAGCAGTTTTAATGCTATATTGGTCATTTCTTAGTTGGTAACTATTTTCTGGTTTCTTCCCTCCCCTTCCTGATTATGGGCTATATTTTACTGCTTGTCCGGCTTAGGGATTTTGATTAGATGCTGTATATTGTGAATGTTACATTGTTGAGTACATGGATGTTGCTATATTCCTTTAAAGAATGTCATGCTTTGTTTTGGCAAAGCAATTAAGTTACTTGCAGATCTAATTCTCTTGATGTCTGTTTTCTGAAGAACCAGTCTTACAGGGTTCTTATAGGACAGGTTTAGGGTAACCTTCATTCAGGAAATATTTCAACCTTACTACTAAGACTTCTCTGAGGTCTCCATTGAATGCCTCAGGTGAGTCACCAAGAGGTTGGTTGGAGCTCAAACATCTCTCTCCTTTGTGCAAACTTCAGGAATTGTTCAGTGCTTACACCTCCCTGGTCATTTTTTGCTCTGATTTGTGAAAGTTCACTTAAACACGCATCAGCTCAAACATCTCTCTCCTTTGTGCAAACTTCAGGAATTGTTCAGTGCTTACACCTCCCTGTTCATTTTTTGCTCTGATTTGTGAAAGTTCACTTAAACACGCATGGTCTAGAACTTAGCACATTTCTGGAGCTCTCTTTCTATGTAGCTTCTTTTTTGCTAGAACTCTGTAATTTCTAGTCACCTCGGCCTTCCTAAATGTTCTTAATTTTCTTAACTTAGCAAGGTTGCCAAGTTTAATTTGGGATCCCTTTCTCTGTACTTGGTAGCCGAGAAATCATCTCCAGGCAGAAAGTTGGGGTGATTGTATAGCTCACCTTGTTTGTTTCACTTCTTTCAAGGATCACATTTCTGTACTGCCTGTTGTTCAGTGTCTGAAAGGAGTTTTATATATTTTGTCTAATTTTCTGGCTATCTACTGCAAGAGGTTAAGTCTGGTTTTTACTATTCCATCATTGCTGCAAGCAGAAATCCCAGGAATTCCATTGAAATTGGTCCATTGGAAATAATTCTCAGTAACTGAATACAGTTCTAAATGGCATGCCTGTATATGTTAGAAGACTAAACTAAACATAATTTACATAGATTTTTGAGTGAAGCCTAATAGTGTCCTCATCTCCCCCATTCATTTTTTACCTTTCCCACAGACTGAAACTGCCTGCTGTAAGCAGAATAATGATTGCAATTATTCTACATGGTCAAATAATGACAGTGGTTCAGATGCTCTTGGAACTCCCCAGAGAACAGATAGGCTGAGAGATCAGTCCTTGTGCTGTTCATTAGACTTAAATTTTACTCTTGGGAAAGGCCTTATGAATGTACTCTGCAGTTTATGAATGAACTTCTGAATCCACATGGGGGGGGGGTATGTGCTAACAGAACACTGCATGTATGAATCAATAAGAAATTGATGTGTGGATTGAAAGAACCATCTTGAAACAGCACGGCATGATAAGACAACCTAAGAAATTTAAAGGCATGTTGAAAGAAGCTAATTTGCATAAGGTTATGGATTTGTAAGAATGGATGTGCCTCTCCCCCAATGTTGAATAAACCAAGCCATGTTATTTGAAGTGGATTATTGGTGAGTTTAACGTCAGGGTTGTAGGTAAACACAAGACTTAGCTGTTGATAGCTTACCTAAGAATTAGATCAAAGAAAACAGCGTGTTTTTTAGTTAATAATTATTTACTTCAGACCTGTTGGTCAAGATCTATTGCCCTTTTTCAGAAATCATGAATATTGCCAACTACAGATATTAGTTTTCTTTTTTGTTCTTAATTACTCTAAATTCTTTGTTTAGCTTCCTGAATGACTCACACTTGCTACATAAAAGCCTGTGGTACTTGGTTCGTAGTACCATGATAACTTTAATTTTGTATTATTAAAAGGTCGTTTATAAATACATTGATTTTTAATTTTAAATGCAACTTGAGGAATACTGATTGGATCCACTGCTGTTTAGAAAACTTTAAAGTTAATGAACTTATGAAAAATATGTTCAACTTCACTAAAATAAAAGTGCAACATACCAGAAGAAGCAATTTTTCACTTATCAAATTGGTTAAAGTTTAAAAATGATAGTATTCAATGTTGGCAAGGATGTGGCAAGATGGGCACTTCTTAGAACATTCAGGAAAAATGTGCATTTATATGACCTTTCTGAAGTTAAGTTTGGCCGTATATGTCAAGCACTTTTACACTCTTTGACCTGGTAATATTGCTTCTAGGGATTTCTTCCTTAAAATTGTTTGAAATTCAAACCCAAAATGCGTGTAGGAGGGTGTTGTTGGCAATATTATTTCTAATGGTAATGTATTAGAAACGCCCCACATGTCTATACAGTGTTTTAGTTGTGGCATTTTCCAGTTACAAAGTATGATATGACCATTAAAATGGGGTTTATGGGGCCGGCCCCGTGGCTCACTCGGGAGAGTGCGGCGCTTGCAGCGCGGCAGCGCTCCCACCGCGGGTTCAGATCCCATAGAGGGATGGCCGCTGCGCTCACTGGCTGAGCAGCGGTGCTGGGCGACACCAAGCCAAGGGTTGTGATCCCTTACCGGTCACAAAAAAGGAAAAAAAGAAAAAAGGCAATAAAGAAGTGAAACATTTAAAAAAAAATTTGTTTTTAAATAAAATAAAATGGGGTTTATGAAAAAAATGTTATCACAAAGGGAAAATAGACATATTTGAAGTAAGCATTATTCCAAAATGATAAGTAGTCTCATTTCAGCTATTATTTAAAAATGCATGAAAGAATGCTAAGAAGTATTCTAGAATGTTAAAGTGATTGTTTTTAGGTGGTAGTTTTATGAGAGATTTTTAAAATATTTTATCTGTATACCAAAATTTGTGTGGGAGGGCATTCTAGATATGTGAAAGCAAGCATGATCTTCATAGCTGCATTCTGGACTTACTGAAAGTTTTCCAGGCCCTGGACAGGCACCTCATATTCCAAAAGAGTAGGCAAGCAATTCGTCTCTAAGACTAGTTGTTGTTTTATGTTCAGGTGAAAAAAAGTATTTTTTTTTAAATGATTTCTATGTTTACTGTTCAGATAAAAATTTTGATGATGAAGATTCTGTGGATGGTAATAGACCTTCCTCTGCCAGTTCTACATCATCCAAGGCCCCACCAAGCTCACGGAGAAACGTTGGAATGGGGACTACCCGCCGGCTTGGGTCATCTTCTCTTGGATCAAAGTCTTCAGGTGAGACCAGGCAAACCCTGTGTGGTGTTCTGGGGTTAGCTGTGCTAACCTTTAAAACCAGAGGTACATGGTGCTTACCTCAGACGTTATGTGGTCCCGCATGCAGCACTTTTCTGCTTGCTGTTTTTTGATGGAATTAGCACTGTGCTGTCAGTGCTGATAAACTGGTAGGATGTAAGTTTGAGTTGCTGTGTTGGCATTTGCCATGTCCTGGTAAGGCAGGGCCTGTGGGAGAATTAAGCCAACACAGAGGAAAACATAGCTCAATAACAGCGACAGCACACACTGATGGCATTGTTTGGTTATCTGTATCCAGCAATGTCTGAAACCACCATGGGGCTTTTTACACAGAGGAAAACATAGCTCAATAACAGCGACAGCACACACTGATGGCATTGTTTGGTTATAAAAAAGCCAATTTCTAGTTATCAAGCCTGAGAATATCCAGAAGTCAGATCTGCCTTCTGTCTTTAAAATACATTTTGTTCTAAGACCACAGTGGTGTGTTGGACTTGCAGAGGGAGAGAACAGATAGAACTAAGGTTGCTGGGGAGAGAAGGTTGGGTGGGGACACAAGGAATGGTTGCAATTTGAGGTGGTTGGCACACTGATAGTATTGATCCGATCATAACATCTTGTGCACAAGAGCTGATGGTCAGCTTGGATGTGTAATCAATAAAAATAAATAAATAAAGGGCCGGCCCGGTGGCGCACGCCGAGGGTTCGGATCCCATGTACAGACCGGCCGCTCACTGGCTGAGCGAGGTGCGGGCGCAACGCCAAGGGTTGCGATCCCATTGCTGGTCCCGGTCCAGTATGGGCGCGACACTGAGGGTTGCGATCCGTTGCCGGTCACGAAAAAAGACAGGGAAAAAATAATAAATAAATAAATAAATGAATGAATAAATAAATGAATGAATGAATAAATAAATAAATAAATAAATAAAATAAATAAATAATACTTTGTTCTTACAGGTAGCATTGTTTCTTGTGAGACCAATATGGATGTTGAATTTTAAAAATGGTAGGAGATTCACTCACTGAGGCTTTGAAAATTTATTTGCAAAGATTTCTTTTGAAAATTTCTTCTTTCCTACACCCCAACCTGGACAGTTTGACTGTTATACACAACTCTTATTTTACTGTCAAATTTTAAATTTACATACAAACTTCTTACTTTTTACCTCTAAAAAAGTGTGTAGTTGATGCTTTCAGAACCATGTTCACTGTTAACACTGGGTGTTTTTTTTATTTATTTATTTATTTTTCGTTAAATTTTTATTTTGTCAATATACAATGTATATGATTACTATGGCCCATCACCGACACCTCCCTCCCTCCTCCCTCTCTCCCCTCCCCCCCAAGAATGACCTTTCCGTTTGCTTGTTGTAATAACTTCAAAAAAGTATAGTTGTTATATCTTCTTCCCCCCCCAACACTGGGTTTTTGAGCTGGTGGTGGGGTATGAGTGGTGGGAATCCTGTGAGACAAAAAAGCCACAGCTGAATGGGCTAAGTAAAAGCTGTGCTAAGGATTAGCATTAGAATGCTGTCTCCTGGTGGTCTTTCCTGAATTCTGGACTGGCCCTAGAATGTGGGTATCTTAACTGGATCAGCTGGTACCACGCTGACTCCTCTCCCCCAGCGTCTCTGCTAGAAGAGCTGTACCCACAGTTGAGAATGAGGTTCACATCAGGGACGGGGAGGAGAAGCATTGCTTTATTTCTTAGGTTAGTTGTCATTCTTCTGAGTTCTTTCTAATCTTTTTTCAGTGCATTTTTTAAAAATTTATTTTTTTGTTAATAGGCTTAAATTCACATGACACAAAATTAATCATCTTAAAGGAAACATTTTCAGTGTTTCATCTACCTTGATCGACCTTGTAACATGAATCAGTACTTTGTTCCTTTCAATGGCTGACTAATCTTTCTAATCCTTTCAATTGATCTATTCTTGGATAATATCAGTTCCACAAACAAGGCTGAAAAATGTCTGTGTGATCAGACCACCGCTTTACTTCCCATCCCTTACCTGTACCCCTTCCAGAAGTCCCCACTGGGTATGTTATGTGGCAATATCAGCCCTGTCTTCCCCCGGAGCCCTGTTCTCCTTCTTTTTCCATTTTGTTTAATATCATAGTCATGAATTTCTTGGTTGACTCCTCTTTGTCAGATTCCTTGGGCTCAGGGACCGTTGTGGTCTTTGAGTCCTCTACAATATGTGGGTACGTGGTACGGTACCTTATGCAGAGGAGGTGCTCAGGACCTACCTGCTCAGTGGACTCCAATCCTTATGCTAAAACAGACACAGAGCACCACATCTCAGTAGTACATCTTCCATTTATAGTTAGCTTGTCAATGCAGTGTGACTAATCTTGAGAGAGTGATGATACACTTTTACTGATACCTGGATTAGTCTTTAAAGCCCTTTTATGTTTAGGTAGTCCAGCAGGACCCCAAACACCAGATACATATCTGGTAAAAAGCTCTTAGAACAGCAGTCAGACTAATCAATGTAACTCATTAACGGTGGTTACAAAGATGACCGTAGACAGCAATTTTGAAAATGTTATTGTGGAAAAAAAAATCTGATAAAGTGTTACCTGATTTTCATATGTGAAGTGGAATTCGTATTAGTGAAAAGAAATAACTTTCTCCCCATGAGAGCAATTAACTTTTAAGTACACAAAGCATCTTAAAACAACCTTTTTTTTTTTTGCGGCTGGTAAGTACAAGGTCTTAGAACAACTTTGTGGGGAAACTTGCAACTGATGCTTAAATGGAAAATTGACATAGTTATCATGAGTTCAAGGGAATGGAAATGTTTTGAGAATAATATAAAGTTAAAATGAAACTTAAATTTTTTAGAACTTATTTGAATATTTTACAAATTTGTTATGTTGGAGTCTCAATTAAACATAATCTAATTTATACCCTGAAGAATTAAATTTTCTGTTATATCTGCTCGTTAGGAATCTTTTAAAAGATTCATGTTACAAATTTGTTATGTTGGAGTCTCAATTAAACATAATCTAATTTATACCCTGAAGAATTACATTTTCTGTTATATCTGCTCGTTAGGAATCTTTTAAAAGATTCATGTATCAATACAATATAAATTATCTAAATCTTTCGAAACCCAGATTTTCCCTGCTTAAACAAGTAGTCTAAGTGACCTTAAGCTAATGTATATAGCATTGTTAGAAGTACATCTTCATCTTGAATTAAGTCAGTAAAGTTTGCCAATTCCATGACACTTAAATTTATATGAAGCCTTTTAAAAAATAGTTCTAAGTCTTCCAAAATGTAATTTTGATTGTGTATATTCAGACTTCTCCAATGTATGTTTTATACATTGTTGCACATTGTTTACATTTTAAAAATTAACCTTTTTTACAGCTGCAAAAGAAGGAGCTGGCGCTGTTGATGAGGAGGACTTTATTAAAGCGTTTGATGATGTCCCTGTAGTACAGGTGAGTGAGGATATTTGAGTATGATTCAAAACAAGGGTAGACTTATTCTTCACATTGCTATATGCAGAGTTCTTTACTAGGTCAGGTAACTTTAACTATCAAGACTACAGGAGATCTGAGATACAGACTAGAAAATGTTGGACCCTTTCATAGCTGTAATGAAGAGCCAAAATCAAGGCCCAAGATTATCTTTCAGTAAGAACAGGAGAGAGGTTGATTGCTTTAGTATTGAGTTGGCGGGTCAGGTCACATAAAAGAGAAAGAATAGATGATTGGGTTAAATCGGAGAATAAAGAAAGGAATTCAGGGATTTTTCTTAGAAAAAATTTGTAAATTTGAAGGATTTTGGTGTCTGAAAAGCTATAGAGAATGGTTTAATAAAAGCTTAGATTATACCATCTTTGATGCTTCACTTAAGTACCTAACAGATAAAGCAAAGATTATTTATAAAAGTTGGGATACAGTCACACATTTCTGACTGCTTCATGCCTCAGTATCTCCTGTTGTTGATTGGGCTAACCCTTTTTCTCAGCCTACATTGACTGCTGTGCTTGGGATTCCCACAGCATTTATTGTCTGTTACAACTCTCCTTGCCACCTCGGTTGCCATATGTATATAGATATGTGACAAGCATCTGGAGCTTGGGTTCATCCTTAAGTACTTGGCCTTCCCAACACGCATCATTCTTGGTTGATTATACCTTACTTGTCTTTATAAGCAAGATGTAGGGATAAATGAAGTAGATTTTAAAGTATTTAAAATTACAGGTATAATGTGATCTTATAAATAATACTGAAGAGTAATAAGTGACGTATGCATCACTCACTGTTTCCTGGTAGGCTTCTTTCTCTTCCTTTGTACATGAAAGCATCCGTTAAGTTTATAGTAAAACCATTCACACATAGCAGCAAATCTAGGGGTACACATTCAAACTCATTCTCAGACGAACCTTTCTAGATATTTTCCCATAAGTACTTCTTAAAAATGAAGTCATTTTATTTATTTTATAAATGTTCTTGACTGCATGTGATTAAGAAATAATCTTTGTTTATTGTGCAGATGTTCTTATATTAATTGTAAATTAATTTTGCTTGCAGATTTATTCCAGCCGAGACCTTGAGGAATCCATAAACAAAATTAGGGAAATATTATCTGATGACAAGCATGATTGGGAGCAGAGAGTAAATGCTGTAAGCCATTGACTTCATGTGACTATATTTTCATTAGACTTATTTAAGTATTCCTAATACTTATGAAATTGGAGGATAGCTCTAATGAATTTTAAAGAGTACATACTTTAAATATAAATTAACTAACTATATTTACACTTTACCTTTATTTCTATTTCTATTTTTAAAACACACCAACTTACATTTTTGTATATCTTGTATTCTTTTAAAAAAGACCTAACTGGAATGTCTGGTGACGGCCTCCACTCTCGCTTAGTAAAGATATAATTCTGTAATTGTTTGCCAGTAAAATGGCTTTTTAGTGTCATTTTCAAAGTCTGTTCATAAATATTCTTTTCTTTCTACATATCACTTGCTAGAAAATTGTGTCTCCTCTATTTTTAAAAGTAGATATAGTCAGTAGGCTGAACATTAAAGTGAGGGTCTGTTTTATCTGTGGAAAGCTTATTTACATTGGTTGGCCCAAAAGAAGAGAGGTGGTAAAATTGCTATTATTGTTATTCTGTTTCAAATTCAGGGCTGACCAGTTAGCTCAGTTGGTTAGAGTGCAGTGTTGTAACACCCAGGTCACAGGTTCAGATCCCCGTACCAGCCAGCCGTAAAAAAAAAAAAAAAAAGAAATCAAACCAAACTTGCCAGTTAATAATGATGCAGTGGAAGATAGATAATATAGAAACACTCTAGGAATGCTTCTTCCTTTGATTCATTAAATAAATAGAAGTTGGAGTGGTGTTTGGGGAAAGGTAAGCTTAGGGCCAAAAAAAAAAAAAAAAAAAAAAAAAAAGAAATCAAACCAAACTTGCCAGTTAATAATGATGCAGTGGAAGATAGATAATATAGAAACACTCTAGGAATGCTTCTTCCTTTGATTCATTAAATAAATAGAAGTTGGAGTGGTGTTTGGGGAAAGGTAAGCTTAGGGCCAGATTTTTACAAGCCAAAATGAAGGTTTTTAGTTATTTATAATTAGTACCATAGAATCTATAAATACACTAAGATTTTCCAATTTTTAAAAACACGTTTTGTTGAAATTGCAATATTTTTATCACAAATACTGCATTTTAAAAATTATTCGGTCTTGTGATATACAGTGTGTTAGCTAGTATTTAAGTGGCTGAATTCTCTTGGGAAAAATTTTTTTAATGTTGATCTTTTTTATATTTGATGGCTTCTCTTATATATTCTGTGTTAAGAATTGTTTTGTATATCTCTGGATTTTCTCTATCCCTTTAGCTAAAAAAGATTAGATCTTTACTTTTGGCCGGTGCTGCTGAGTATGATAACTTCTTTCAACATTTGCGTCTTTTGGATGGAGCTTTTAAACTCTCTGCTAAGGATCTGCGGTCTCAGGTGGTGCGGGAGGCTTGCATCACGTTGGGGTAAGGACTGCAATGCTCTGCATTCTCATTCACCACAAAGTAGTCTCACCATAGAGTTTCAGAGATGGCTAGTTGAACATGACAGCTGGGTCTCTTTATCATATCTTCTGACTAGTCTCCGAGACCCATTCCAGTTAACTCTTCTGTCAGTACTTATATAATACGTGTTTCCTGCCAGTTATGTAAAGTGTGACAGAGTTTAAATTTTATTTATAGCTCTGAGTCCTCTATTTTAAACTTGAAGCAGTTATTAATAATACAGAAAATTGAAATGTTATAAAATTCTGTTTCTCAAATATTTCATTTATTTTCGCTGACAGGATATAGTATGATTGTCAGGATGTTTGTTTGTTTCTGAGTTAAAGTCATGTACTGCCATAAAATTTTATCCAGCTAAACCTGTATCAGAGATCAAAGCTAAAACTTTGTGGTAGAGTGTATTTCAGAATATCAAAGCAGCAGAGCTGTAATGTGGCATTTGCAACTGTTTATAGAGTTTTGGGTGCAGTTAGATATTGAAGCCTGAATATTTTATGTTAAACATGAAAGAGCAAAAGAAAAAAGGGGCGATAGAGCTTTTTCATATTTATGTTTTATTATTATATGAGAATTTGTTTTTTGCTATTTTAAGGCTAATTAGTTAGAAATGGTTAAGAAAGAACTCTTGGGCTAATGTCTATTTGCCAAATTCTTTACCTACACACTGGAAATTTTTTAAAGTTTCAAGTATCTTACTTATACCCTCACCCTTTATCCCTAGAACACTTTAAATTGAAGCCTTTAAAAGGTTAAGCAGTTTATATGCTTGGCTGTTTGTAAGAAATATAACTAAAGTCCAGTATTCATTTCTTATTATAGGCATCTGTCATCAGTTCTGGGGAATAAGTTTGACCATGGAGCTGAAGCCATTATGCCAACTATCTTTAATTTAATTCCAAACAGTGCCAAAATTATGGCCACGTCTGGTGTTGTAGCTGTTAGGTTAATCATTCGGGTAAGTATGTGGAAGGGCCATACATAAAATAAGCAATTAGTAAATATTGATGGCTGATAAGAAATATTAGAGGCTTTTTTTATTACACTGATTATATATAGTTGGAATCATGTTCTTAATCATCTTTTTTCCCCATTTAATTCTAGCATATGAGCTTCTTACAATTTTTTGTATGAATTGTGGGTATGGCATATAATTACTGAAGTACTGATCATTGACTTACCATTGGTTTTAAATATTTGAACATCTGCATCTGCTTTTGAGTTTGTATTGTGTTCTTGTCTCTCAGATGTTACTCGTATTCTTCCCTCCTTAATCCTAGTCCTTCCATTTAAGGTACTTGTGCTTGTGGTTTTGCTATTCATCCTAAACTTGTATTTAATTAACTGCACATAAGCACAGAAACAAAATGTTCTCTTCAGTTAAGATTTCTTTGAATGTATTTATTTAAATTTAAATAATTATCCAAATAATTTATGCACAAGTTTTCATTAAAACCAAATAGTTCACAAAGGCTTAAAATAAGAGTTTTCCACAGTACCTCCTTTCCACCTTCAAGTTCTTTTTTCCCCAGAGGCAACTATTGAAACTTTGGAGCTTGATAATTTTGACTAAAATCTATCCAGAATATTCTTTTTTTTTTTTTCCTTAATTTTATTTTGTCAATATACAATGAGGTTGATTATTGTGGCCCATTACCAAAACCCGCCTCCCTCCTCCCTCTCCTCCTTCCCACCCAACAGTGTCCTTTCTGTTTGCTTGTTGTATCAACTTCAAGGAGTTGTAGTTGTTAAGTCTTCTTCCCCACCCCCCTGGTTTTTTTGTGTGTGCGTGTGAATTTATTTTTTTTTTTTTAGCTCCCACCAATAAGTGAGAACATGTGGTATTTCTCTTTCTGTGCCTGACTTGTTTCACTTAATATAATTCTCTCAAGGTCCATCCATGTTGTTGCAAATGGCAGTATTTCATTCGTTTTTATAGCTGAGTAGTATTCCATTGTGTAGATATACCACAATTTCCGTATCCACTCATCCGATGATGGACATTTGGGCTGATTCCAGCTCTTGGCTATTGTGAAGAGTGCTGCAATGAACATTGGGAAACAAGTATACCTTCGACTTGATGATTTCCATTCCTTTGGATATATTCCCAGCAGTGAAATAGCTGGGTCATATGGTAGATCAATCTGCAACTGTTTGAGGAACCTCCAAACCATTTTCCATAGGGGTTGCACCATTATGCATTCCCACCAACAATGTAAGAGAGTTCCTTTTTCTCCGCAACCACACCAGCATTTATCTTTCAGCATCTTTTGGATTTTGGCCATCCTAACTGGGGTGAGATGGTATCTCAGTGTGGTTTTGATTTGCATTTCCCGGATGCTGAGTGATGTTGAGCATTTTTTCATATGACTGTTGGCCATTTGCATATCTTCTTTAGAGAAATGCTTACTTAGCTCTTTTGCCCATTTTTTAATTGGGTTGCTTGTTTTTTTCTTGTAAAGTTGTTTGAGTTCTTTATATATTCTGGATATTAGTCCTTTGTCAGACATGTATTTTGCAAATATTTTCTCCCACTCTGTTGGCTGTCTTTTAGCTCTGTTAATTGTTTCTTTTGCTGTGCAGAAACTTTTCAGTTTGATATAGTCCCATTTGTTTATTTTTCCTTTGGTTGCCCATGCTTTTGGGGTCATATTCATGAAGTAGCTCTTTAGTTTGATATAATCCCATTTGTTTATTTTTCCTTTGGTTGTCCTTGCTTTTGGTGTCTTATTCATGAAGTCTGTGTCCAGACCAATTTCCTGAAGTGTCTCTCCTATGTTTTCTTTAAGAAGTTTTATTGTTTCAGG